GATGTCATAACTTTCTCTAGTTTATTTGATCGAACCTCACGCTCAATTCTTGTGTTCATCCTTCGGGATAAATATAGGATTTGAGGTAAAACGCTCTTTCATTTAAACTATGAAAATTATGGGGTCGGTTTGACTTCATCTTTTTCAAAAATAAATTTTTTTTTAAAAAGAAAACGTCCTTTCGAAGCGGGCAACGGGATTTCAATTCCGATGTCCGACAGTTTCTTACGGGCAAACCCCACACCAAAAATAGTGCCGACAAGTACATGATGCACTATTGCTGATAGTTCATAGTTCTGTTGATGATGAAAGTGAAGAGAATAGTGGGTCTAGAACACTCATTCATATTGTTCCACAGATAGATAGTATAGAACCACAGAGCTGTGCATTTATAAAGAAATCTTGCAAGATGAAAATTCAAGCAAGTGGGAGCTAGCAGAACTTCCATCAGGGAAGAAAACATTACACACATTACACACCAAGTGGGTGTACCAGGTGAAAACTGAACTTGATGACAGTAAGAGGTACAAGACTAGACTTGTTGAAAAAAACTTTTAGCAGAGACAAGATATTGCTCATGCAGTGGGAGTTGTAAGAAAAGACAATAATAAATCAGGAAATAGCTTGGAGTTGCAAAACTATGTTGACCCTGCTGATATGTTGACTAAGGGTGTTACTCTTAAGAAACTGAAGTTGTGCGCAACTTCAGTTGGTCTTCTGGTGTGAATATAGAGGTTTTGAACTGCAAAGGTGGAGGATTCAAGTTTGAAGAAAAAGACGACGTCGTCAGTAGAGGATATTAGTTTGAGGAATAATACGTTATAGCATGTGTATCAATCTCAAAGCAGGAGATTTGTAGTGCTGGAGCCCGACTTGATCCCGCCTCTCGCTCTCATTCCCGCGAATCGCCGCTTCTCCCTTTGTGTCGCGAAAAACCGCGAACTGCTCCCGCCTTCGTCCTTTCGCGAACGACGCCAACCTTTCCCACCTTCCTTTGACGTGAAGCGAAGCATCCCTTCTGTTCTTGCGTTTTCGTGATAAAAAGAGTGGCTCTTCTTGAGTTTTTTATGACAACCCATTTGAGTTCTTCTTCGGTTGTATTGCTTCATCGGGATAGAGGAAGAGAAGTGCAAGCAATGTGTGGGTGTTTGATAGAAGGAAGAAGAAAAAAGAAGAAAATTGTTTTCTTTATTTTTTTTTTTTTGGGGCTTGTGACAGAAGAGAAATTGTGTTTATTTCTCTTGTAAATTTATCTTCTTCGGTTTATCTCGGTGTAGAGAGAGAAAAAGAGAGAACAATGAAGTTAGAGATTCTTCTTGTAAGTCGAGACGATCGACTAGTATAAATTCCTCAAGTAATAAACTCATCTGCAACTCTCTGAACTTAGGTAATTTGCCACTATGTAAATCTATTTGTTCGCTGTATTACTGTTTTATGATGTAAATTTTCTCATTATATTTTTCGCTTTCGTCAAATATTGTTCTCATATTCTATATATCACAACAGTTGCCCGCTGGAATGATGTTATCTTTAGCGTTCATCTCATTCTATTGTATTTTTTTTTTCTTGATGTTCCAATTCTATGAACATTAAATAATAATCATAACATTAAACAATCGACCGAATGCCGTCTTAGCTCAGCCGGTAGAGCGCGTGGCTTTTAACCACGTGGTCGTGGGTTCGATTCCCACAGACGGCGAAGTTGTTCATATTATGGCAGTAAATATTTTCTTCCCAACTCGTTCTGCTTTTGTTTCTCTTCCTCCTGGACGCAAAACCCTGATTCCATCGACACCTAAACTGTTCTCGAACTCAAGAAGAGCTGCTCTTATCTCCTCCTCCGCTTTTCTTTTTCAATTCTCCATTCTTCCTTCCTCCTATGCTTCCCTTCCGCCTTCACCTCCTCGCCCTCTCGCAGAGTTCTTCAATATTCCCGACTCCGGTGGTGTGAAAGCCCTAGACATTCGTTTAGGTACAGGTGACTGCCCCGCTGTGGGAGATAAGGTTATTTCTCTTCATTTTCTTCTAATGTTTCGTTTTTCTCTACAAATCCTTTTAGGCTTCTTGTGGTAGACTGTTTTGCTTGGTGAACCAGGTTTCGGTTTTAGCACCATTATTTTTAAGCATTGATTGTTTTATATGATGAATGATTCAATTTCGGTAGTTATCTCAACTAGTTATTAACATTACTGTTTTGTGCTGGAATGCGTGAAATTACTAATTTGTGCTTGAATGCTAGCATTTTGATTGAAAACAAATTAAAAAATCTTGAAGTGTTAGATTCGATTGCTCATCCTTGAAGAAAAAAAAAAACATAAATATTATAATAATATATAATTAAGGCAAGCAAGTAAAAGTATTATGGAAGTAAAATTCGATTTTAGTGATTGAATTATATGGTAGGGTTTTAATGATTGCTCAAGAATATTTGTTTAGTTGCAGTAAAAATTTGAGTAATGATCAAAATTTGAGATTTTCACTTGAAAATGAAATAGCTTTCCAAATATGGCTTTTCTCAGGGTGCTAGATAAGGGCCAAAATGAGTCTGAGTCGAGCTTGACTATTGTTGGCTTGCACTTGAGCTTGGGCTTGATTGATTGATTGAGTTTGAGCTCGATCTCGAGCTTAATTCTACAAGTCTGAGTCGGCGTAGGAGTTGGTCTGTTTAGTATGAAATAAAAAAAATTATTAATTCAAGCTAGTATTATAATGAAATGATAACCATAATGATATAATTTAGGAGATAATTAATTAGAAATCAATTAATATAAAATATATTTTTAAACATTTTTAATATTTAAAAAGAAAATCTTTAATTTTAATATAGTTTTAGTCCATTATTTATTTAATTTTTTAAACAAGCCGGCTCACGAGCTAAGGTGTAGAGTCAGGGTTGGCTTGAGCTTGGTTTGTTAGCTCATCTAACTCAGTTCATGAGCCAGTTATTGAGTTGAGCCTAAGCGAGCTTGACTCACTCACATCTCATTGCCAAACATAAAAAAAATGAAAATTTTTAAATGTTGGGCTCAGTAAATTCAATTTCTCTTCAAATTCTTATCAATTGACTTTAATCCTGGTTTTGACAAGAATTAATAAACTCAAATTTACATAATTTATTAAATCCGTTACTCAAATTAAACCAATATTTATAAAACTCATCCTCGTCAATTTTGAGCCAGATATCTGACTCAAAATTTCTACTTTTATTACGAGCAATAATTTCCAGATATCACGCAGATTGATTAATGCGTAGTGATTAACAAGGACTTTGCTTTTGTATTTTTATCATTAAGGTCGCAATACACTACTATGGGAGGCTTGCAGCAAAGCAAGGGTGGCGATTCGACTCCACCTACGATCACAAGGATGAAACGGGTGATACCATCCCCTTTGTGTTCGTTGTTGGATCTGGAAAGGTAGGACTAACCCATTATTGCACTCTTCATTGTACTCTTGGCAATACTAGGCGGGGTTGCAGTTTTTGTTTTGGTTTTTCTGCAAATATTATTCTCGAAATTGGACTAGTGGTATGGTTTTACTTCACAAACATATATTGAAAATTCAGATTGCTATTATATTCATTCACTTTAAATATTGGATGATTTACAAGCATGCAACTCAATTTTTATGTATTTACATATTTAACATTCAAACTTCAATCTTTTACCTATATGCCAACTTACCTATGCATGAAAATGTGTATCTAACTTTTTAAAAGTTAAAATAGTAGGTTTTTTTTAATTAATTAATTTATTTATTGGTGACATGGAAGTTCAAATTTTTGGTTAATTTATTGAAGTCATGATTTTTCGACAAATTTAATGTTGGTCGTCGACTACCTAATGCAACCCTCAACTTTTCACACCCGTGGACCCGGCAATAGGCCAATGACAGTGTTTAAAAATCAAAGTTTAGTTGTTAGGGTGTTAGATATATATATATATATAGCTTCCTTGCTATATATATATATATATATATATTGTTAACTTTGAGAATAAAATCAATGTATATCTTATTGATGCAAATAAGAGTATAAATACCCATTACAGGATCTACTAGTAAGGAAAGAAATAAAATCAGAATAAAGGAAAAAAAAGAAACCGAAGAATAGCAAATCAAAACAATTAATATGTAAATTTGCATATTAATATTCTAATATTATAATTCTCTCCCTCAAGTTGAGACATAGATGTTAGTCATATTCAATTTGGATTTGAAATTCTCGAACAGTGACCGATGAATGTTCTTTGTAAGAATGTTTGTCAGCTGACCATTAGATGACACAAACAAAACATAAATTTTTCCTTAATGAAGTGACGATCAATCTCAACATTTTTGATACGATCTTGTTGGACCGGTTGCGAGCAATACTAATAACAACCTTGTTATCATAAAACAACTATAGGGGCGCGGAGACTATCATACGTAGTTTGTAGAACATAATACGTAACCAAAGTGCTTCACAAATTCCCAGAGACATGGACAGAACTTTAGCTTTCGTACTGCTCCGAGCAACTATAGTTTGCTTATTGGTTTTCCATGTGACCATATTTCTCTACACAAATGAGCAGTACCTTGAGGTAGATCGCCGACGATGGACGGACCCAACCTAATTTGCTTCTGTATAAACTACAATAAAACGAGAGGTGTGAAGGAAAAAAAAAACAAAATTGAGCCTGGTGTGTCTTTTAAATGTGGAGAATCCGGTCCGGTGGACAACTTGGAGGTGGTGCTCATAGGGATCATGCATGAATTGACTAACTATCCCAAGTGCGTGACATATGTCAGGGCGTGTATGGGTAAGGTAGATGAGTTTCCCCACAAGATACTGGTATGAGTCTTGTTTACAAGAATTGCATTGGGAATATCAAGAAGTTTTTCATTAGGATCCATCAGTACAACTAATAGTTTGCACAGTAAAAGATTGTTCTCTGTCGAAAGGTCAATTACATATTTTCGCAGAGACAGATAAATACCCTAAGATGACCGAACAACTTGCATGCCTAAGAAGTACCAGATAGATCCCAAGTTCTTCATTTCATAGGAAGGATCAATAATGTCTTTCAAATACTCCAATGCTGGTAGACCATTACATGTGAGAACAATATCGTCAACACAGACGATAAGGATAACTAGTTGGTCGTTGGAATAATGTCGGAAGAAGGGAGTGTTGTCCGATTGATCCTGAGTAAATCTATGACCCACCACTACCTTTTTTAATTTTTCGAACAATGCCTGTGGTGATTGCTTCAATCCATAGAGGGATTTTCGCAGTCTACATACTTGCTTCTGGGAGGCAGTGGAGTCAGAGCTTGGAGGAAGAGCCATGCATACCTCCTCTGTAAGATCGTCATTTAGGAATGCATTCTGACATTAAACTGGAATAAATGGTCAATCCAGATTCACTGCAAGGAATAAGAGGACTTGAATGGTGTTTAATTTAACAATTGGAGCAGATGTCTCCTCATAGTCAACTTCGTCGGTCTGTGAGTACCCTTTGGCGACCAACCGTGCCTTGTTGTGTTCAAAGGATCCATTAAATTTAAACTTGTTGTTAAAAATTCATCAACATTCCACTATTTTTTTTTGCCATGTATAGTTCCGCTGAAGGATATCCATCTCCTCCATGACGATAGCTTTTCAGGCTTGGTCTGCTAAGGCAGCCTTCAGTAGATGAAAGCCGATGATTGGTCAGTGTCGTAGCAAAGACATAGTTTGTCATGGGATAAAGAGAGCATGTTTGATTGTGTACGTTACTAGAGGAACTGACTTCCTCATTTGGAGTAGCAGTGTTGGGGATGTCGTCCGGAGGGGATTTAGGGTCCAATAAGGGGTTAGTGAGTTTCAGAGTAGGTGTATCAGAACGAGTGCGTCGAGTGTAGACACGAAGAGTGGGAGAATGTGCTGGTGGAACCAAAATGATAGAAGACTCCTTGGTGGTAGGAGGTGGGGGGAACATCCACATGAGTAGAGTAAGGAACGGTGTCCAAGAACTCTAGCTCCACCTCACTGGAGGCCTAGTTAGAAAATTAGAGAGCACTTTAAAAAAAGAGACACCAACACTCACATAAATCTTATTTGTGATAGGGTCAAGGTATCAATACCCTTTTTGAGTAGCAGAGTATTCGAGGAAAGCACATTTACTGGAACTGGATTGAGTTTACTCCGAGTTGGGGCCGTTTTCCAAACTTAGGCTTATTGACCTCATTTTGAGGTCATTTCTCTTCTCCTTGGATCCTAGGATCTAGCTCTAAGAATTCCTATTAACTATCTTAGAAGATTAGTATTGGGATCCATCCCTATTAGTAATTCAAGCCACGTCCTGATTCTCTTGTGGTGTCTAGCATGGGTGATCTCAAACCATTGTCGTTTGGTCGAGTGGTTAAGGACCAACATGTGAGAAATCAAAGAGAAGTTCCCTATAAGATCTCAAGTCCTAGGAAAACCCTTTTAAGACATTACTAGCACACACAAAATCCACTAAGTTGTGCGAGGTCGGACTAGAATTAAGCTTAAATAGGGTGAAAATGTGAACTTCTTCGAACGACCTCTGATGGTGAAACAGATTACTCCAGCGCGTCCGTGACATCCTTTTTAGCTAGGGAGTACACACATATTGCCCTAATTTTGAACACGAGCAAATCACACGTAAATCAATGAATTCGTCAAAATGACACCGGATGACAAAACAGACTGTGCCGGCACGTCCGGAGCATCAGTTTTATCCATAAAGAATACCCATTTTGTTAGAGTTACGAGCACGAATAAATCACACACTAATTAATATAATTAAATAATAAAATAAAACAAAATAATAAAAATAAAATATTTATTTTTAAACGTATTTCATCTGACGCATCCAACTCGCTCCCCTCCTCTTCGGCCGACATTTCTCTCCGTGCCCTAGCTTCTGGATTTGCACGAGAGGGCTCGCCTCCTCTCCCGCGATCGGCCTCACGAGGCTGGCCGAGTGAAGCCCTACCCTCCATGCTCCTCTCCCGTTCGCAGCCCATACGCGCCTCGCCCCCTCGAACCCCGCTCGACCGAGCGGCTCTCCAATCACGAGCTGCCTCCTGTCCGACCCTTCTCCTTCTCGAGGCCTCATTTCCTCCTTCTTGAATGCGATTTTCCCTCTCCCGATTCCTAATTCGACCGCTTCACAGAGGTAGGTATGACCCTCCCCTTTTCCTGTGGCTATAAAAAACCCACCTTAAGGAGTTGTTGAGGCTGGCCGAAAATTAAAAAAAGAGAGGGAGGTGTTGCCATTTTTTTTTCTCTGGTTGATTCATCCTGTGTGTGTTCATGAAATATTTATGGAGTTCTGTTTTCTCTTGGGTAAAGCCTGAAAGAGGAGAAGAGGTTGAAAATTTGGAAAGAGAAGAGAGGAGAAAAAGTTGTTGCATCTTTGGTTGCTTATTGTTGAATCTCTATTAGTCGTGCACATTTGTTGCCGTATTCTCGAGGTTTTTAGGAGACTTGTGCTTTTGCATCAAGGTTCTTAAGGGAGGTTTTTGCTGATTTTATTTTCTTAGGCTGGTTCTTGAGTTTATTATTGAATCTACATCAAGAGGTAATCTTCTTCCTCCTTCTTTCTGCAAGTATTCAAAGGAAATATCTGATTCTCATGCCTTGAGTTTAATGTTAAAAATGAGAATGGTTATGGAAATGGGAACTGCACTTTAACAGAGGATCGTTAGTTCACTATGCATTACATTGTCATCTTGATTGATATCGGAGTAAATAATGTCAGAGTTCATTTTCATGATTCTTCTTATATTTTGGGCATACTTGTTTGGGGGTGTTCTTAGTTAAGCATATCTCCTTTTCTAACAGTTCATGTAAGCAAATGAAAAGGATGTTTTGATGTAGCTAGAAGTTTAGCAAATGCAGGGTACCTAGTACTTGGTTGTAGCTTTTTACTGTTCACATTCTATGCATGCTTCATGTCTGTGAATCTATGAGTGCCCATGATAAAATTTTAATGGGCAAGCTTCCTGCTTGTTAATCCTATGAATCATTAGTCATTCTTCATGAGCTTGAAACATTTCTTTTATCTTCACCTTTTGGTGTGATAAAAAAAAAAGTTTCAATATGTTTTATAAGGAGCATTTCTCAATGAAAATTTTGGAAACCTGAAATTTGTGCAATTTAGAATGTTTGATACTTATCCATGGGCCATTCAATTCTCTTTTCTAACACTTGAGGCTTGACTGTTATATTTAAAAGTATTTACATACACACCACTCAATTCTTACATATCGAATGATTTAATTGCATCGGTTGATTTTGGGCAAGCTACTTGGAACATTTTAAAAACCCATTTTGTGGGCTGAATCTGCTTCAATTTAGAGCTTTTAAAAATGTATTTTGGTGAGCTGAAATGACTGTAATTTTGGGGGGCTTTTAAATGCAACTT